GCATGAAGATATATATATATATATATATATATATATATATATATATATATTTATTAAGAGAATATTTTATTAAGTCAATATTTTATTATGTGAATATTTTATCAAGCCACCATTTTATTACCTAAGTAAATATTTTATTAATAAAATATGCTTGTTTGAAACATTATTCTTATAAATATTTTATTAATTATGATATTTAAAATATCTATATTAAATATTTAAATATTATTTAAATATTTTTCAACTCGAAATTGAACAATTCGTCGTAATTAAAATTCTCATTAATATAATTCTATCCAATGATTTTTCAAACAAAAAATTAAAATATTAAAAAATGAAATTAAACAAATTTTTTTTTTACATTTTTCAAATGTACATGCGAATAATTATGGAATAATTAGAATAAAGAAACAAATGGAATAATTAATATTAATATTCCAGTTATTTGTTTAATATTTATAATTTTATATCTAGTAAAATTTTTTTTTTTTTTTTTGAATTAAAGAAGGCATTTTTAAACGAGTTTTAATTTGAAATGCAGCATTTTGATTTATATAGTACAGCTTTGAGAAGTTATCGAACCTTTGATGGAGGGCTTAGTGAAGTAAAAATTCTCTTAATATAAAAATCTTTACAATTCAAGTTAAACTTTTATTAGATATCGAACAGGGAAAGTGGATAATGCGAGCATTCATTGGGAACGAAGGTTGCTATTTAAATTCCGTCTGCGACTGAAAGCGCGCAACATTGGAAATTTATTGTTCGTGTGACAATCATCCGAGGAGAGTCGAAGTTAAAGTTTTTAAGAAACGACAGTTTATGAATATTGATTTAAATTTGTATGTGAAACAAAAATTTTCTAAACAAAAAATTTCCTAAAAGAAAAATTTGTAAAGTAAAAACTTTTCTGAAAAGAAAAATTTAGAAAATAAAATTTTTTAAAGAAATAAATATTTTTATATATAAACAATTTTGTAAAAGTAAGAATTTTGTAGAACCATTTTTTAGCAACAATTTTCTAGAAACAATAATTTGAAAAAAGAAAAACTTGAAATTATTAAATAATTAATTTGTAAAACAAAAGTTTTTAATACAAAAAAGTTTATAAGAACAAGAGATTTTCGAGAGAAAAATTTTGTAAAGACTAAAATTTAAAGAAAGGAATTTCACACAACACGTTAAGTAGTGGGAGAAATAAACTTTTTTTCCTTCGACACAATGATGTCTGATCGAAAATAAAGCTATACTACTTAATTTCGGTAACATATTGACCTGAATTCTAAATTAATGAACTGTATTTCAGTTTTTTTTTAAATCATTAATTAGTTCTTTAATTGAAATTTAAAAAATTAATTATAATCCAATGCAATGTGGGTTAAATTTTTAATACCTGTCAGTCTAAACTTATTTTAGAAGACTTTGATTATTCGGACGAGAATTCAAATAATTGAAAGCGAACTTATATTGAAAGTTCGTGATTTTGTATCAATATTTGCTCTTCTCGCCCTCTCTAAAAAAATTTTTTTCACAGATCATTCCGATTTGATTCAAATTCATCCTATCTGATAAAAATAACCTTTCCTCGCAAAATTTTTGTAAAAAAAAATGAAAAGAATCAAATGAATATAAAATAGAAAATAAAATAATAAATAATAAGAAATTAAATAAAATTATAATAAATTAATTGAAAACATAAATAAAATAAATATGAAAAAAATAAATATAATATATTGATTTATTTATATTTTTAAGTCGTTTTTTTTAGTGACGTCTAGATTGCAAAAAAGTGTGAGGATTCCTCGCCAACTATTTTTTTCATCGAAAAAAAGAACCTGCTCGTCAGGGAGAAAACGAATTATATTAAAGTGACAGTAATGGGTTTTTGAATGAGTTTATTTTACAATTTTTTTTTTTTTATAATTTTTTGTTAGGGATTTTCACAAAAACCCTAATAAAAACTGTTGCGTGAGTTGACGTAATTATTTTTTAAACTACCTGACATGACGGAGGATTGAACACTCATTTTCAAAAGTCTTGCAATTCTTTTCACGTTTAGTGACAAAATAGTAAATAAGGGTGTGTACAAGAAGAAAAAGAGTTTTTAAAGTGATAATTAAAATGCTTAACTTTAGATTGAAAATGTTTAGAGTGTAATAGGAGAACCTGGAACTTGACTGGTAGTTCGGCAGTCAGCCAAGTTTCTAACAATAGTACACAATACTGCATTGTCGGGAATAATTTTCTTAAAGACGAGAAGAATACCTTTTCTGCAAATAAGTCCTTTAGAGTTTATACGACTTTTAACATTCGTCAATGTTGTGTTAGTTGTGTCAAAAAAAAAAAAAAAAAAATTCAAAAGAGTAAAAATGAGAAAGTGCAAAAACACAAATCGAAATTGTCCTCTTGAAAGTTGAGAGTCAACTTTTGGTAATTAATGAGCACTGGTTATGACAGACGTAACGTGGTACTTAATTAATTACGATAAAAAGGGCGCAGCTGAATTTCAGATTTATTTTCAAGTTATTTATATGAAATTAATCGTTAAATTTTGTTTAATTTTGCACAAATTAAATTCTTGTTCTTGACTATGAAATAAAGTAGTTTCCATAGAAAAAACCATATAATTTCAAAAATTTTTTAAAAATCTCATTAAAATTTCAATTATCTTTAAGAATAATAAAATTCTTTTTCGAAATTCAATTATTTTTAAAAAAATTTAATAAAATTCTTGGCAAAGTTTCAATTATTTTCAAAAATTTCCCTCATTTCAATTATTTTTAATATCTACTATTTTAATACAATTTTCCAAAAGAATTCAATTATTTAAACAAAATTTTAATAAAAATTTCACAGGATTTCAATTACTTAACAATTTTTTTATAAATTTCTTTGCACCAATTCAGTTATTTAGAGAAATGAAAAAAATTGTTCTAAAAAATTAAATAATTTCGAAAAATTTAAATAAAATTCTTTTCAAAATTCTATTATTTAAAAAATTTTTGACAAAATTCTTTACAAGATTTAGTTAATAAAATTTTTCTATACAATTCAATTATTTTCAATACAATTCTTCTTAAGAATTAAAAAATAAAAAAATAAAAATAAAATTCTTCGAAGGAATTCAATTATTTAAGAAATTTTAATAATATATTCTTCCCAAGAATGCAATTCTTTTCAAAAATAAAAATTTTCACAAGAATTAAATAATTTTAAATAAATTTAATAAAATTCTTCGCAAGAAATCAATTATTTTCATAAATAACAAAATTTGTCTCAAGAATTCAATTATTTAAAAAAATTTTGATAAAATGCTTTATAAATTTGAAAAATTATAATAAAATTGATCATAGAATACAATTAGTTTCGTAAAATATATTATTGTCAAAAATGTTTGTATATATATCTTCGAGACAATTTAATTATTTTCTTAAAAAATAAAATTCTTCGAAGCAATTCAATTATTTAAGAAATTTCAATAAAATTCTTCCCAAGAATCCAATTCTTTTCAAAAATAAAAATTTTCACAAGAATTCAATAATTTAAAAAAAAATCTTCATCAGATGTCAATTATTTTCAATATTTTTAATGAAATTTCTCGATGGAATTTAATTATTTTCAAAAAGTTTGAAGAAATCCTGAAAAATTAAATTATTTAAAAAAATTTGAATAAAATTCTTCACAAGAAATTAATTATTTTCATAAATAATAATATTTTTCTCCGTAATTCAATTATTTATACAAATAGAATTCTTCACAGGAATTCAATTCTTTAAAAAAATTTTTAATAAAATTTGTTGTAAGAATTCAATTTTTTTCATAAATAACAAAACTTATCGCAGAATTTCAATTATTTTTTATCCAATTTTAAATAAAATTATAGAAAATTGCAATTATTATTAAAAATTTTATTAAAACTTGAGGAAATAATTCAATTTAAGAAACATTTAATTATTCAATAAAACAATAAAATTCGTTGCAATAATTCAAATATTTTCATAAATAACATTCAATTCGTCGCAGAAAATGAATTATTTTCAAAAATTTTTAAGTAATTTTGCAAAAGAATTCAATTAGCTTGATAAACAACAAAATCACATAAATTCTTCCTATAAAATCAATTATTCTAAGGAATTTTAATAAAAAATTTTTTAAATTCTTCTCAAGAAGTCAATTATTTTCAAAAATTGTTTTCAAAAATTATTATTTAAATTCTTCTCAGGAATTCAATTATTTTTAAAAAATTTAATAAAATTCTTCAAAAAGTTTTCAATTATTTTCAAAAATTGCTATAAAAAATTCTTTAATATAATAAATTTCATTAAAATTTTAATTAAATTCCTTAAAAGTAATTAAATATTTTTAAAAGTTGTTAATACAATTGTTCGTAAAAATTAAATTTTAAGAAATATTCAATATTATTTATTTTTGTATTTAAATAATTGATTTCTCGTAGAATTAAATTATTGTTTTTCGTACTTTTAACTAACAATTCTGTAGAATTTAATTTTTTTTGAAAAAGTTTAATTGAATAATAATTGATGTTATTGATTTAAAGTAGAATTTTAATTAAAAATTCTAGAAAATGTTAATTGAATTGAAATTTTGAATTTGTTTTGAATTTGAAATTTTTTAACATCTTAATTCCAATGAAAAAAAAATGATTAAATATTTATTTTAAATAAAACTATTGATGTTTTCGAATAATTTTACTTTTGAAGAAATTTGTAAATAAATGTAATAGAACATTTTTTTGGAATATCTAATAATTTTTGGAGTGAATAAAAATATTCTTCAGGGTCAGGGAAAAAGTCAAAATTTTGTCTGGAAATTAAGGAAAAATAAAATTAAATTTTTGTGTCAACCCTGATAAAGAAAAGGTAATTTTGATAATACAATTAATTTAGAATATATAAAAGTAATTTAGAGAATAAAATTAATTTTATTTTTAAATAAAAAATTTGAATTTAATAATTTTTTTATGGTAATAATTATTGTTTTAGCACACAGACGAATGCGAACGGTGACAAACTATTTTCTGGTGAATTTGTCAGTAGCGGATCTAATGATGTCGGTCCTCAACTGCGTTTTCAATTTCATCTTCATGTTGAATTCGGACTGGCCTTTTGGAAGTGTCTACTGCACCATCAGCAATTTTGTCGCCAACGTAACAGTTGCTTCCAGTGTCTTCACCCTTGTCGTAACGTCATTTGATCGGTGAGTCATTTTTCTTCTCTTCTACAATAAAAATTAAATTTTGTTTGTGAAAATATGCAAATGTGAAAATATATATTTATTAAAACATTTATGAATATTAAAACTGTCTCTCTGTATACTCTCAAAATTTAAATTAGTAAAAATGTTTATTAATTTGAAATTTTGAATTAGTTAGAAGTAGAATTTGAATTAGACTCTTTGCTTTTGAATTAGTAAATTTTGCTAATAAATTAGTAGAAACTGCTATTTATTAGTAAAATTTACTTTTAAGTCAAAAAGGAAAAGTAATCAAATTCGAAAATTGAGTACTAATTTAAATTTAAAGAGTATGAAGACAGTTTTGTTTGAATTTGACTTCTAAGAGAATATTACACAAGGGGTTACGCTCCATTACCAATCAATGGTGTATATCCCCTTATAGAATCCAAACCCTCAATTAAACGACAGACATGACGTCGCCAATTCTCATCGTCAATGCTCTCTCAGGTTGATTATTATTGACACAAGTTGCATAATGCTTTTGTTTGTACAGAATATCCAGGCTGGTTATAGTTTGTACTATATAAGGAATGTTATAGCTAAAATTTCGGTTCAGTGGGTCAAGATTCTAAAGAAAGACTGTAAATAACAATAAATTTATTAATTTGCATAATTATAGGGTTTATTTTTGTGCAAACAACAGAGTTGATATAGGTCAGAGAAATCGGGGGAGAGGAAGGAGAATTTAATATTTATAGAAAGTTACTGGTAATTTATAAGTTTTTTATTTCAATATTATTTTAACATTTCTATTATGATTAGAGTCTAATAATAAGCTTTGTTGCAATTTATTTACGCATTTGACAAAAAAATTGCAACAAAGCTTATTTTTAGTCTCTAAAAATATTAAAATATTATTAAAATAAAAAACTTGCAGAATTTCCAGGGGGTACTTCCATGGAACTTTATTTGGAAAAACCAGTTCTTTAATATAAAAAAAGCTCTAAATTGAGGAAAAAAGCCCAATTTTGATAATCGACTCAAAAAATTGTTAAATAAAATTTTTAAGACCAGCTTTCGTTTTTCAAGATAAACATTTTTTCCGAATCGAAAATTAATTCTAAAAAAAGTAACGAGTACCTCCGTGTTTCGGAAAAAAAGCTCTTCTTTAATAAAAAAAAAAGCTGCAATTTGATGAAAAAAACCCAAATTTGATATTCGACTCCAAAAATTGTGAAAATAAATTAATAAATTGTCAAGACCGGCGTCGTTTATGAAAAAACAAATTTTTTCTGAATCGAAAATAAATTCTAAAAAAGTTCTGAGTACCTCCGTCTTTGGGAAAAAGCTTTTCTTAAACAAAAAAAGACCCAAATTAAGGGCAAAAAGCCCCATTTTGATAATCGACTCAAAAATTTTTTTTTTAAATTGTTAAGACCAGCTTTTGTTTTTTAAGAAACAAATTTTTTCTGAATCGGAAATAAATTCGAAAAAAGTTTTGAGTGTTAAGGAAGAAGCTCTTTTCTAATAAAAAAAGCTCAAATTTTATATTCGACTCCAAAAATTGTGAAAATAAATTTACAAGACTAGCGTCGTTTTTCATGATAAAAATTTTTTCCTAATCGAAAATAAATTCTAAAAAGAGTTCTGTGTACCTCCGTGTTTTGGAAAAAGCTCTTCTTTAATAAAAAAGCTCCAAATTGAGGTGAATGAGACCAATTTTGATAATCGACTCAAAGAATTGTTAAAAAAAATTGTTAAGACCAGTTTTTGTTTTTTAAGAAACAAATTTTTTCTGAATCGGAAATAAATTCTAAAAAAGTTTTGAGTGTTTAGGAAAAAGCTCTTCTCTAATAAAAAAAAGCTCGAATTTGATGAAGAAAAGCTCAAATTTGACTTAAAAAGAAGAATTTAATATTGACATGGTTGTCACAGAGCCTGAAAATCCTGGGAAACCTGGAAAAGATATAGAAAATCTAAAAAAGTATAGAAATGGAAAAAATTTCTGGAATTTTGCCTGTTTTTAAACGTTTTTATTAATTGGGAATTACATTAATTTTGATGACTAAGATAATTATTAGAATTATTCTAGTAATAGTTTGGGACCATTAAACAATTTTGTACTAACAATTGTTAGTAAACAGAAGATAAAGTTCACTCAAAAAATAATTTTTCATCTTCTGCTGATTATCGGCTGTGGTTACTTTTTATTAATTGTGAATTAAATTAATTTTAATGACACAGATATTAATTGGTATTTTTTTTTTTTTTTTTTGCTATAGTTTAGGAACAGTAAATAATTTTAATTAAAAAAAATATCTGGAATTTTGCCTGTTAAAGATTTTTAAGAAATCTTTAACTTAAAATTAAAAAAATGTATTTATCTCATTGACATATAAGAATCTCTAAAGAAGAAACATTTTTGGTTTGTAATTTTTATTAAGATTTTGGTATTTGGATGTTTAAAAAAATTTTCATAGCTGAAGATGCGTTATTGGGCCAGAAATTTTTTTAATTTTGGACTGGAATGTCATTAGTATTGACTAGGAAAATCTGGGAAAAAGCCTCGAATTTTATTTTTATCATTTTGTGGCAACCACGTATGTACAGAAATATACCCAAAATACATCAAGAAGAATAAATTAAATTTTGTAACTTTAGATTCATTTTATTATTCACAGTGTAAATTTATAAAAGTAAAATGATGAAAATTCTCTTTTTTTGAGTTTCATGAATTTTCATAAAGAAAATATATATTAAATATATCAGAGAGACGTAAAATTTTAAGTTTCCGGAGATAACCACTTAAATGTAAGTGTGAACAATAAAAGTTTTATTCTATATTTTTTTTTTCTGGAAATTGATGCGTTTATATACTTTATTCCCTTACTATTCAATTCATAGAAAGGATTTTTCAATAAACGACTTGTTATATTCTTCGATTGTACATCCTGTTCTCTGTAATATTTGTCCATAGATTGTACTTCCTGTATTTGTATTTTTATTACCTCTATAAAATACATTTCGATTCATTGTTGAAACATAAGTTTCCGACTTGAGTACAATATTCTCAAACATTGATTTTGTTTCTAATATTTTTCTTTCATAAATTAATTTTCAAAATTACCTTTTTCAAAAGTATCGTTTTGCTTTTTTTGTAATAAAAATTTCCTTTTTGATTTTAAATTTTAACATTATTATTATATTCATATTATTATTGTCATATTCTTTATTTTATTTTTTATTGAGATTAGTTAGGTCTTAATTTGAAATAAAATTCTTAAAAAAATTTTAGAGAAGAAATTTTAAGAAATTTTAAGAAATTTTATTATTTTAGAAATAAGAATTTATAAGTAATTACAACGCTTATTATACATTCAGTGTATAGGATAATTGCCACCAATTATACAATCTTTGAATAATTATGAGAGAATTGAGGTAATTGCAGAACAGTTGAAAGATGAACAATGCTAAATGATTTATTACGTATAAAAATTCTTTAATTTTTTTCTTATTATTTTTTTTTCTTTTGACAAAAAGACATTGTGACATTGTCCTCAGTTGAGATGATGAAAATGGAACAAGATTAAATTCTGTTCTTTATTTGTGAGATGCTTGGAAGCATTTGGTTATGTACTTGGAAACTTTACTCGTTAAGATTGTTTCCAGATAATGTGAAAACATTTTCCTAATTACATTTGTTGTAACATATTTTTAAATTCTCTTCTCTTTTTTGCAGGCATTCATATTTCATGTTTGTCGCAAAAAGTTTTTTTCTATTTTTATTTATTATTATAACAATTATTTTAGTATAAGAAAAATTCGCAAAATTTGGTAGTTATTTTTTTCGAAAACTGTATTAAATGCTATTTGTTACATTTAAAAAATAACTTACTTTCGAAATTAAAATTGAATTCAACGGAGAATTAAATTTAGAAGAGCAAACGTTTTAAATTCAAGAAAAAGTGGAAAGAATTTTTGTAATTACAAACTTGAAACTACAAGACAAATTATGCGGAAGAAAGTACAGTTTAGGTTGCTTAGTTTGGAAATCGGTTTCTGAAAACATGTTTCAATTTTGTTTTCCTTTTTTTTCGTCGCAATAAATCATTAACCTTTTATTGGAAAACGATAAATTTCTCGTGCCTTCAACAATACTAAGAAATCTCTGTCAAATATTGAGACTTTTGTTAAATGTACTTTTAGTTCGCGTATGTCAAAAATACATACCGAACACAATTCATATACATTTCTCTCAGTAAAAGTAAAATGCTTTCTCTCGCATGTTTAAACAGAAGGAAAATATTATCTGTTAGCGATAGAAAGTGTTCATTTTTTTATATTTTTTTATAAAGTTTTGTTTTTAAATAATAAAAATATTAATTAAAAAAGTAATATTTAATTATTACAGTATAATTGTTAATTATATTTTTTTAATTAATATAGTATTTTTGAAATTTACTCGAGTGGCTACTGACTAAATAATCTCAGTTCTATTTGGTGAATAATTTTGTTATTTATCAGTAGAGGAAAAAATAACAATATATCAATAAATATGAAGGTAGAAAATAGTGATGAATTCGTGCGATTCAATTTAGGAAACGAGCGACATTGTCATTTATTCTGGAGTGTGACAGTTGAGATCCTATCACGTGACATGATTGAGACAATCATATAGTGGAGGCGAGACGATATTCTCGTATTTCGAGCAATATCTGTTAACTGTTAAGCGATAAAATCTATAGAACTTGTTTTGCCATATTTGTTCACTTTTTAAAATCTGGATCAAGGACGATAGAGAATTTTTGTCAATTTTCTTCTTTGGCATAGTTTAATAATAATAATTGAAATTGATATAATTATCAAGATACGGTGATGTGGATAACAATAGGGGCGCACATGCCTCTAAATAGGCATGAATATGTTTCGCCTCTTGATACTCTCCTTCGGATGCACTCACTCCTTTCATTCCTAGCGTTGCGATTCTCTTCTGCATAAATTAATCTGCAGAATGTTATCAA